ATCATTAATTTCGAACAAAATTCATACATTATTTATAACTTACATTTCTATATGTTTAGTTTGGAGTACATTATTCGATTAGACAAAAAATCAATTTTCTGGTTGTTCAAATAGTTTACAAAACCTTTGGTGAAATGTCTAGGATAGCGGTTCTCAACCTTTTGGACTAACGCGAACCACCTAAACAAAAACTGAAAAACTTTCGTACCACTATTACATTTTATAATGATTATTTTTTAATTTCTCAATAGAAATATTGAAAAAAATATATTTTGCCATTTGCACAACCTATTGGCTATTTGTATTAAATATGCACACATAAATATATAGATTAAAAATCAGTAATTATTTTATTTGTCAAAATTTAAGTTATAAAACTTTAATTCTAAAACTTGTTGCGAAATTTGGGCCTGTTTAAGAGATATCAATTTCTTTAAGTCTGGTCATGTTTCACTTAGCTTTAACCGTAAATTAGGATCCACTTTTTGTTCTGTATTTTTTTTTTTTTTTTTTTTTTTTTTTTCAAATATAACATGGAAGAAAATTTTTGTTGGCACAAATAGGTTGTGCAAAAGGCAATAAAAATTTAATAGCTTTATTTGAAATGCCTTTAATTTTTTTTTTTTTTTTTTCAGTTCAGCCTAAAGTTAACAAGTGTATTATTTTTGAAATCTTCAGTTAGAGTTCAATCACAGAAAATTTCTATCAATTGTTCTTTTTCTTCACGAGATTTAATTTATTACTTAAAAATACTTTGTTTCTTTGAGTACCTCATATTTCTCTCTTGCCTATCAAACGGTTTAGGATCGCTGGTCTAGGATATAACAAAAGTTCGTCAGTTCGGTGATATATGATGATACAAATCAATCAGTTTTAATAAGCTGATTTAAATAAACGAACTATTTTTCATTCGCCTTTATCATAGGTGCACTGAAGCACAGTCAGGGAATGTTAGAGGGTAACACATATGTCACCACTCAGATTAAGATTAAACATGAAATTCGATTCATGCCTTAAGATGAATTTCTAAACTCTTCTGGATAAAAGAAATTGCTTATAAATTTTAAAGTAATATTTTGCTTGAATTTTTCCATAATTTTTATATTTTGAACATGTTGACTTGATATCAGATTTTAAGCTAAGATCTCTTCTTTAATTCGCTTAACAGTTGATTTTGATGTCTTTTGATTTTGATGATTTTTAAGCAGTTTTAATGAATGGGTATATCCGATTTTTTGCTGTTTTCATGATTTGTTTGCTTGTTATTTTTACCCTTTTCCCATATTTTATATCAACATGTCCATGCTCTTTGTGCTGTTTTAAAGCTCCATAAGTCACTGTTTTCGATATTTGATTTCTTTTGCAAGGTTAAATACAGCAGTGTCGATTCTTTTGATATCTGGGTTATACGTAAAATGGGTCTGTTTCTTTTAAACAGCTTTCGTTAAAGTGGTGCTATTTTAAAAACATTTATATCAATAAAATGGAACTGCTATTATTTTTAAGGAAATTAATCGCTATTACCATAACAACCTGAAAAATTTATATATTTATTAACTCATACTTGATCAATATAATTGCCTTTTCTCATCTGGCACGCTCTGTAACAAAGCGACAACATATTGTAATCTAGTAGCACTGTAATCCGGAGTAATAATGTAGTATTTAGTATCATATGAATGCAATAATTTTTTTAGAAGCGGAAATAAATTTTGTAAACGAAGTGTACAACGAAATCTATCATAATTCTCGAGTACAGTGATTTCTTTGTAGTTCTGAAGTACTTTAGAGTTTACTTTGGTACTTACGTACTATCTCGTCGACCTTAAATCTTGGTTATCATTGAACCATTAAAGTTGGTGGAGATCCAACCAAAGATCTAATCAAACCAATCGTTCCTGTGGAACTGTGAAGGAAGTGACGCGTCTTTAGTTAATAAACAGTCAATATTCGAGCCATTTCGTTTTCGCGCTTCGTAGAAAGACTTCCATCTGTGTCTACTATTTTGTTAGGTGCACTGATTTTACCGAAAGCTCTCCTTAAAACGCTTTAAGTACAAACTTCTTGCAGTCACATGTTTCAATGGTACTTCCTGTTTCGCTGGTCATATCATGCCCCTTGATACACACTTTTTTTATGGTAGGATTCAATAACTTTGAAAATAATCCACTGCTTGGTATTCTGTACAAGGCAAATCCCAAATTTTAATAATTCTCCCACCCTCTAAAAAAGGGGAAAAAATTAGCAGCAATAGCTGTTAATTTTTATCCACCTGACTTATCGAGAATCAATCAGGCTTACATTAGACAAACGCGCAGTAGTTGTGACGTCACACGTTTCTATAACTGACATTAAGCCGCAGCGCTTGGCGACACTTTCATTGTCGACGGGATAATAAGAACCGTTACAGTAAATGAAGCATAATAAAATTATTTTAGCTCAAAAGTAAAATTACATTTATTTAGTCAGGTGTATGATGCGTTTCTTTCCCCCCTTTTCGTGTGTGTGTATCTGATCCACGTGTATAATAAAATATTTTGTAACCTAGGAGTACAAAGCTGTTTTAATCCAGAAGGGTGCAGCAGTGTTTTTGTAATTTCGGCGGCATATGGGTAAAATAATTTTTCCATAACATAGGATTATAATAAAGTTTACTGCATTTTCGAAATATTTGAATTCAATAAATATATATATTGAATGCTTAAAGACAGTGCAATTTTTACGATCCTAAAATGGGGAAAGGCATTTGTTGCAATCTAGAAATGTCAAAGTAGTTTTATTGCAGTTTCCGCTCTGAAATGAAACACAAAAAACAGTGTAAGTAGAAATAAATTTCATTTAATACTTCTAGGACCGATACTAAAAGGAACACTCTTCTATTTCCGACATTTCTATCGAACTCCGTTTAGTTAGTGGAAAAAATCATGATAACGTAGTTTGGAGAGTAAGAGCAATTGGTATTATGTGTCTCTTGTATATTGCACAAATTCTAAAGAAGGCGGGAATTCTTTTTTTTTTTTTTTTTTTTTTTTTTTTTTTTTTTTGAAAGATTGATAGATCGCAGAAATGTGGAGTGTTTTATAATGTGTGATTATTTGTATGAAGAAGAAAGCATAAAACAACAAAGCGCGTTTAAAGAAAATTTGATTACATTACAAAGAAATATTTCATTCCCCTGCATCTACTCTGTAACTGAATGCACTGTAATATAAGTGGATTTCAAGTTTACTTGGCAAATGGAAGATCCGTGGCTTGAATTCCTTCAATGGACCTAAGGTCTCTACAGCATTGCTCTTACCACTCAGGTCCACCAGTGAGTGAGTAATTCAAGTCCAACTCGAATTGAATAAACTAGCTGCTGCCATTTAAATATTCTGTGTATATATTTTTTTCGTTGACTGATGCGATATTCTTTACAAAGTTCTTCACGAAAACCAGTTTAAGCAGACGACCGTTGAAAACCGTGCTATAGTTTGTAGAGTTCCTCACTTCGGAATTCTAAGTTAATCTTGGAAGTGAAGAATCTAAGAACTTATAAGCGAATAATCGCTTGAGTTCTGTGACAAGAAACAACAAGATAGAAGGGTAACTAACCCTTTATTATTCCAATAAGGTTTAACAAAACTCCGCCTGGGAGTGTACAAGCAAAGCCCGCACTTGGACTTAAACTTAAAAGACTAAGAATTAAACTAAAACTAAGATTAACTAAAGAAGTATAGCCGAAGCTAATCAAGGATTCAAATTCGAGTTGGCCCCTTAACTTATTTGACTATGAAACTTGGCAAGTACGGCCCGAATATGGCTGAGCATAATAACAGCTTTGAGAGAGAGTGTGGCCAAAAAGGCAGACGCGCGTGAATCAGAAACTCTGATTCTCTCTGACTCAGTAAGTAACTTCGTGGTTTAAATACCCCTCCTCATTAAATATTCAGCAAGATTCCAAAAGTACATTCTGGCCGGAAGTAGTAAGTTGAAGTTAAGAATTTGACAGGAAAGTAACTTAAAATTTAACTGTTAATAAAATTAACATAATCCTTACAAGTTATTTAATCAATCAACTAAAATACTGTCTTTCCTTCCAGTTTGGGATTCATCAGTAAACAAATGCATGGTTAAAGCTAGATAATGCTAGTAAACAAGCTAGGTTCGGGAATGTCGGAAAAGATAGGCTTCTTGGGTGTTTCCGTGGTTTTGGGTTAATTTCTTCTACATACACAAGCCATTTTACCCGCATAAAGGCTATGATATTTATTTTATGTTTTACTAATAATTAATCGCAATTTAAATACTCGTCTGTCTTCCCTTTGATTCATGTCATACATATTCGTTCAGACCAGAAGCTTAAGCAGATTTAAATATTCGCAAAAGCGTTTGCGCAGATGTACTTCAATTCTCATTTTATTATATGAAGAGCTAACTGCCTTATTGTTCATAATTGCTAGCACCGATCCAGCTATTTATGTTAAAACAGCTTAGTGTCGGTCGGCACCCGCATCGAGCTAGCACCTTCTAGATTCATATAGACTTTTCGAGACGGACTGATCGAGCCCTTTATCTGTCCGAGACTATAGATACTTCTTTCTATGTTAATTAACTAACGATAAAACCGAGTGTCTTGTTTTACAATATTTGATGCTGACATTTCACGACAATTTGCTTAACTGTCACCAATTATAATCGATAAGTAATCCACTTTTGTGCTTCAGTTGTCACCCATCAGGAATGGGTAATTAAAGTTTATTGATGCTGTTATGTAAGTTGATTATAGTCCAAGCCATAACTCGCCGATATTTCGAAAGTAATTTTTATTGAAGTAATATTACGTGAACATAGTTTTAAGACTAGATTAAATACTAATGTTACAAGGCTTAATACCTTATTTGTGATGCCCTAATTAATTAATCATCTTTGTATTGCTTTTATCAGTAATTAGTCCTCAAACCTTTTCTGTGAAAAGGAGTTTTATGCTCCGTATAAAAGTATTCCCATCTCTTTTCTAGGCTGCAGCAACCATCCACTGAAAATGATGATGACCGTGATTACCGTCATCTGATCTCTTTAACTCGCCTTTATTGCAAAGTGGGCCTTTTTCATGAAATCGAAGTTTCTTTTTCCAAGTTTGTTTTTGAGTCATCAACTTTGAAAACGAAGTTGAAAAGCGGGCGCTGCATATTCGGAACCTCATTTATTTGAATCAATAATGGAGCGAGAGCTCAATAAATTTCTTTTTCATTTCTTCTACTTTGAGGAAATTTTCTTTTACTCTTTTTAAAGCTTTAGCTATGTTTTAAGAAGCGGTAAAAAAGAGCTTTGCTTTTGTCAAAAAACTGCGATTACTTTTTCTCTTTTTCTATCGTTCTATCTGTAATTTTCAAATCCTTATTTTTATCAATAAAAATCTCAAAAAATATGCATTCCAGGAAATTACTTTTGTTTTTATTAAAATTCAGATTTTTAATCGGTTAGTTTACTTATTTAAACAAAGCAAGAATGTAAATTGTTTTTAATTGGAAAAGTCGTAGCATTTCATACTGTTATTCTGAATAGCGGCTGCAATCAGGGCCTTACGTAGTATTAGTAATATAGATGAAAATTTCAGGTTAAAACTTATTGTATTCAGTTTTATTCAAATCAAGATAAAAAAAAAAGGTGAGCATTATTATAAGAATGTAGTATCACAATTTATATTTTAACCGTTATTGAACTTAACTTCGAATCTCTGTCTCTGAGTTAGGAAACTGCTATTCGAAGAAATGTTACTACGGAACTACTGAAATATTAATATTCTGTGCAAGAGTAACTGTTGATAAGCGAATGAAAATGTACTTTTACAAACAAATTTTACTTTAACCTTATTTAAACAAATTCCAGAGAGATATCCAAACGGGAAATTTAATGTCTACTAAATTATAAGGTTTTATTTTCCTAAGACCTTTGTTTTTATGTTAATCCAGTTCTGTAGCTTTAAGTTTCTTTCGTCGGCTTCATCAGATCGCAGATTTGTTTGAATTGAAATCATAATCGAATATGATGTTACGGGAGAATATTATGGTAACGACCCTGTATAGCTATCCAGTCTGAGAGAAAGTCGATATTGTTACGAAATGTACAGGAGCGGTAGATGGCTTCCCCGCAAAGCAGTTTTAGGGTTGCCACATTTGGCGAAAAAATTGGCGATATACCATGGACGGTTGGAGAACCTTCTGGAACGAATTCTTACCGGTTTAGCCCAGAGTGTTCTCGAACACAAGCCGAAAGTTATATAAACCCTGCTGGCCCGCAGTCAGTTAGTGTGCTTCATCGAGAGGGCGAGTGAGTGTGCCTCGTCTAGTCAGTATCAAGTTGGTGTCTCGTCTAGCGAGTTAATCCCTGCGGAGTCGATCGGGTTGACAGCCGGGCACCGAGTGCCGAGTGGGTCGTCGACTGCATCGAAGAGCCTCTTAGTATATCGCGGTTAGTGCATCGTCGAAGAGTTCGTTAAGCTCCGGGAAAGACTGAACCGAAGAGTCGGGAGCCTGTGCTCTGTGTGTCGTCGAGAGCATTGCGAATTGTAGCGTGGAGAGTCTCGAGAGTACGTGGAGTTCCGAGAACGACCGAGCAGAGTCGGGAGCTGTACTCTGGTGCTTCGCAGTGAAGCTGTCTTCACCGTGACAGCCTGATAGCCTGAAGGCTGTGTTGCTGATTGTTCCAGCGAATGTATAGTAGATCTTCGACGACTGTAAAAGTGTTTTGGAGCTCTCCTTACTAATATTGGTAAATAAAGTGTGTTTCGATACTTCATCAAGTGTCGTCGTTATTGACTCCAAATCCACAAGAACCCCTTACGAACGTGAAGGAAGAAAATAACTTAACAATATAATCGACCTGCGGATTTAGTAAATGAATTTTGGAATCCCCATTAGCTGGAGCTGTTATGTTGTGTTGTGACTTGTCTCACTTGTCTGACAATAACATCAGAAATTCATCTTAGCAATGAGTGCAAGATTGCGCTTGTCGTCGGCAAGAGTCTTGAGCATCATCCAGGTGACAGTACGACTTCGCGTTCAATGCCGCCCCAATTTTGATGGACAGCACCCCGGGGGAACGAGTCAGAGGGTCTCCCACCCCTCTTCCCTTCCATTACCACCAACCTCTCGCGAGGACTTTCAGCTCGCCGCATATTTGGAGTGTCCCCATGCCGCACGGACTTTATACATTTACAAACATCCATGCTTTCTCAGGGATTCGAAACCGGGCCATTTGGTACCGCAGTAGGCTCTCCGAGCCACTATACCTTCTGGGCGCCAAAACTGAATTATTTAGTAGTTGGAAGCTAAATTATATACTGTACTTATCTAAATATTTGATTATATATCTGCGGAAGAAGGATGATTATTATTTCGTTTTATTTTAGCCTTACTGCAAGTGACTCAAGAAAATAATGGGGCTTTCAGACTTGAAGACACTTTCAAATACACTGGTGTGCAAAAATTAAGGACGAGACGGTTTTTTCAATATAACTTTGTACAAAAGCTTTCCAAATCAACACATTTAATACCGTAAGATCCCCAATACGTAAGGACATGAGTAATGTAAGCAACACTTACTAAAAGAGAAATCAGAGGGATAAAAAGAAGCTTTATTGAAAAAGTAGCATGGAGCGCAATGCGACTGAAGGCCGAAACATCCCTGTGATGGGTGTTCAGCAAGAAACATCCGGTCTTTAATAGGGGATATGATCTCCCCTGACTGCTAGGCAGGTTTCACAGCCTCTGCCCATGCTGAGAATGAGGGTGTCAATGAGTTGTAGAGGCATTGCTGCCCATTCGTCTTGCAGCGCCAATCGAAGCTCGGGAATCGTTACTGGTGGTAAGGCACGAGCTGCCAAGCGTCTGCCTAGAAAATCCCATACATGCTCGATGGGATTGAGATCCGGAGATCGTGCCGGCCAATCCATACGTTCAATATCCTCACTCTCTAAGAGCTGTTAGGCAGCTATTGTGCGATGACATGGTGCATTGTCGTCCATGAAAAGGAACTGCGGACCCATAGCGCTCTGAAAAGATGCACATATGGAAGAAGAATCTCGGTACAATAACGGGACCCGTTGACTGAACCTGCGTCGAAGATGTGAAGATCTGTACGACTACCAAGCATGATGCCTCCCCAAACGAGAACACCGCCACCTCCTTACCTGTCCCTTTCAATGATGTTCGAGGGATGATTGCGGCTTCCCCGCTCTCTCCAGATGAGTATGCGATGAGAATCGCTACTCAGACTGAATCTGTAAAGAGTACTCGTCCCCATTCATTGTCTCTCCAATTCCGGTGTTCCCGGCACCACAGAGAACGGCCTTCTCCGATGGGCAGGCGTTAGAGGTACACACCGCACAGGGCGTCGTGCAAACAGACCACCACCGTGCAGTCTTCTGCCCACGGTAAAACGCGATATCGGTCGTCCAGTCACCTGTGTCGTGTGTCTAGCGATTTCTCCCGCTGTCTGCCGTCTATTTCTTCTGGGCCTGTAAGGCAATATACGGTCATATGCGGGTTGTGGTTCCTCGTGGACGACCACTACTAAACCCCCGGATAGCTGTTCCAGTTTGAAATTGCTCCAAAGTGTGAAACGATGCTGTGAGCAATTCCGAAATCTGCAGCCGCGCTTGTCACACTGCGGCCTTCCTCCAACTTCCCAATGATTCGACCTCGGGTAAAAGCATCCAGATGTCGTCTAACAGATTGATTATTCGCCATTTCTCGCTGAGGCAGCAACTCGGTGTGATTTTAACTGCTATACGGCGTGCAATCTCTTTGCCAGAAATACTGATCTTACACCGACAACATGCTTTATACTACTCAGACACTCCCCAATTACGTCTACCTGCATATCTGCGCATGTGCTACCGTACATCACCTTACTTAATCTCCTGATTGGTCTTTCTGTCCGCTCCGCCTTTTCGTTCAGCTGATATGCTAATTTTTCGACTTCGTCCTTAATTTTTGCACACCAGTGTATTTAGAGATGAAAATTCAGCCCTTATTCCAAATCTATATATTGTCCATCGCTTTCTAAGTCTAAATACCATGTAAATAAGTATTGGGTGGGACATTGCTGTTCAAATGTTATAAAGAACAAATTCTAGCAAGATTTTTCTTGTAAAACACCTGAAAGTGTGAAAGTCTGTTTAGGAACTATTCTGTTAACATGGGTCGAAGAAACTGAGATTTCTTTTGATGTAAGCAAACTTACAGTTCTTCATTGAAATAGCGAAAAATCTTAGAAGGAAACAGCTGAACTATTGAATTTAAAATAAAATCTACTGTTCAATTTAATTTGGAAAGTAAAACAAATTTGCTTAAAACAAACACGAATAGGGCATCCAAGGAGATTCACTGAATGCGAAGAAAAGTGGATCGTAAAAAATGCGATATGTAATTCTAAAACCAGTGAATTCAGATTGACTTTGAAAACTCAATGAATATTTAGAAACTCTAGTAATGCAGAAATTGTTAGAAATATGTTGAGAAACTGTAACTTTTACGGCCGAATAACTAGAAAAATCCATTCCTCAGTAAAGATCATCGAAGAGCATGATTGTAATTCTCTAAGATCTGTATTAAAATGCCTTAAAAATTTTGGAACTCGACCGTATTTGTAGACGGAAGTAGATTTAATATTTTCAGATGTGTGTGCATTTAATTATGGCAAAGCACACTAGGGCTATTTGCCTAAGGGGAATGATGCCTTCGTGGAGGACTTTCTAAGGGAAACTGGCTCGTATACACGTTACACATGGGGAAAACCACGAAAACGCCCAAATATTTTCAGAGGGATTAAAAGCAAATGGTGTTGCGAAACCCAATATTGAATTTCAAATGAAGAATCTTGCTTCAATAAAACATAATGGAGATAGCCATATGTTCTTGGGTTATATATATAGACTTAACGGTGTCTAAATTCTACATTTTTATGTCAAAATTTCAAAATAGGCATATTTTACCATTCACACTTGGTCTTTACCTAGCCGCATGTAATCTAAACGCTTCTTTTTAGTTCAGACTTTATTCCTATTGAGTACATGTGGGGTCATTTTCAAGACAAAATTAATAAAAAGAAAATTTCCAATACAAGTGCGCTTGGAGGAAAACTCACCACAAAGTGGTAAAAAATAGAAGCAAATTTCAATCAAAATCTTATGTGAAAATCCATGCATAATTCATAAAAATGGAAAGGTGGACTCAATACATTATTAGATCAATTTTTATGGAATTTTTCCCTCACTACGTTTTTGACCATTAGTTTCTTATTTATTCACAAAAAGAGTAAAATTTACTATTTATTTAACTTTACTTTTTATTAATTTTAAGGATTTTTAAGGTTCACCTCTAAGATATGGCATGCAATAAAAGTATTTTATTTAAATTAAATATTTAATTATTCTTTCAAAAAATTGTCTGAAAACTTGCTCTGCTTCAATACTTTTTTGACTCAATGTAGCTTTAATAGACCTTTAGTTAAGTTTTACCTGTTCTCTGTTTAGTTACTCTCTTGTTTATATGTGTTATTTCATCGAATTAAGGTAAGTGAAACAATTTCAATTAGAAAATTTATTAGCTTATAAAATTTGGTCTGTGTTTAAGGAAAATTCAGATGGAAAGTATGAGTGCATTTCGAAGAATTAATGGCGTCGTTTCTGTTTTTTAATAGCAAATTAGGCGCGAGGGCAGAATAATAGTATCATAAGCCAAAATGCAAACTCTTAATTATTTTCGAATTTTGCTGACGTTGCAGATAAATAAATAAATATAATTATGAAATTTACAAAATTACATTTCTTAATTACAGAAATTAATAAAATCAGGGGAAATGTTTCAAGATACTGCCTTTAATCACTAAAAATAATATTATTGTTGAGTACTAACTTCTTGTAATGGAGAAAATTCTTTTCGCAAAAGAAAACAGCCAAAACATATCTGACATTTTGCTACTTACGAACTTAAACTTATATCGATACTGAAAACTTATATCGATATATCCAGGCATGATGATATAAATTCATCGACATATAACTTGAATATGAGACAATTTGTGGAGCACCATCTATTAAACTTATCATTCAATGGATTACTCTTACTTTTCCATGATAAGGCCCACCAGAACGTTGCATCTAAAGCTGAAAGAGGCTGATAAAATAGTCTCTGTTTTAAATCCCATATGATGAAATAGCTAACTACATGGGGGGTTTGTAGACTTTCTTCCCCCCCCCCTATGTAAAGCATTAGCCTACTTTTAAAACGTCTTTACTAAGGCCTTACTTCCTTTAGTCAGATAATTATAGTGAACAATCAGCTGACTTTTATTGTGCTAAGTAAATCAGCATGGCAGAAATAATTTTTGCTCTTTTCCATTAGATATTCTGCCATAGAAATAAGTAGTTACTGTTACTGGAATTACAAGCAGCTAACTGCATTTTGTAGAGATGAAGACAACAATAAGATTTTGGGAGATGTAGCTCGTACATTGGATAAAAGTTAGAGAAAAGGCGGTGCTATCATTTTTTTTAAACATACCTTAAAGACGAAGAACAGTTCGGGCTTCTTCTTCAAGGCATTCGTTAAAAATGTCTTCTGCATGATGCTATTTTTTTACGTTTTTCTCATGAGTTGAAAAAAGTAGTTTACAAGAGTTAGTTAAAAAATAGTAGCAACACGCTGATGATTCTAAAAAGACTTTTACAATAGACACAAACATTTACAATCTGTCAGTTGAATCGCATGCTATACCTGGCATTTTCTGCGAAGTTACTGCAAGGCATCGTGTACCATCGACGCATCAGAGACTGAGTGGCTAAGACCGCTCAACGCACCCGGTTTCGATCCTGGATGAACGGTCTACCTGCAGGGTTTGTTTTCGTGGTTTTCCCGATGTATATCACAAATACGAGCCCGTTTACCTTCGAAAGCCCTGCACCAAAGCATTCCTTTCCGTAAACAGATAGCCTTACTATGATTTGCCATATTTCAGTTACCTTACCTTGCCTCTATCAGTCGGTCTTCTTCTGTCCCACAGCGACCGTCCTATTGCAAGGGTAATGTGGTTCACTTTTGGTGAAAACTCACACGGATTCATATCGGATGGCAGGTGTTCCAGTACTTCGCCACCGTCACAGGAGATTTTTTAATTACAAATGCATATTTAATTACAAATGCATACATACAAATGCAAGCTTCCAGAGATCAAAAGTAGGTCAGACGGAAACTTCCTGCAGACCATCCTTCTTTTGACTCTGAAGGGCTACATCTAAAGGAAAATTTGATCAGACTTTTCGGGTCTCATATTCCCTGTCAGAATTAACGTACCTTACCATTTTTCTCTCATTTGATGTGCCTTCACTTTCAAATGCACATTCATACATAGACCAAGATGTGAATTAGATTCAATTAAGCGTGCTGTATGTGTTTACTACAGTATGAATGTAAAGATCGAAGCGTTGCTATGAAATGAATCTTCTGAAAATGCGTGGGAACGAATACGTCTATGCTGTTATAAAATTAGTGAAACGAGATGGAGAGAATCAATCTGTAAGTTTCAGATACTCCCATGAATACCTGTGATGTAATGTATAGCACATCAATTGCACTGGATGCATTATTTGAGTATGACGAAAAACATTAGCGATACCTCTGTAAGGGCAGGTATGCTTTCGTGGAGGATTTTCCCTGCACGAACCTGCATACGAGCGGCTCATGCAGGTTGCACACTGGGAAGATTACAAAAACGCTCATGCAGCTGGGCCGTTTACCGATATTCGAAACCTGTTAGCATCTGGAAGGTAATGCTAGAATTTTATTAATTAAATAATTTAAATTTTTTCCATTTAAGTTTAAGACACAGTAAAAATTTCAAGATTCTTTCCTCCGGTCATTTCTTTTCTCCAGAAGTTTATTAATTAAATGTGATTGTATAGATTTCTAGGTATGGCAATTGTTTAAATGTATTACAAATGTTAGTTGCTGATTTATAAGATTTTGATCATATGTTTAACTCGACTCGAAACTCCATTCATTTTACTTTACCGTTAAGAATTAACAAATAAAGATTTGGTGAAAAAGGCCTTTCTAAATTCTCCCATAAATGGAAGCTTTTGTATTTTATTTTTCTCTTTCATGCTTTTCTTTGATTAGCAGATAATTGAGTTATGGAAATTTCCATTGTGTCCATCATGTAGCTTGACGAGTCCTGCTTCATCTGTTCTAATTGTATTATTTTTATGAATAATTAATGTCGAAAAAAATCTGCAGCGATTCAGCGCTATTCATCATAAGTCGTAGCTGCATTATTATTTTTTTTTCGAGCGTGCTTTGTGTGTGTGCTTCCTTCACGATAAAAAGCCAGAAACTTGAATTATTCATAAGAAAATCCATTAAAAACGAATGCTTTGCTCTAGTCCACACATTATGTAATCGTCGCTGAGTTTCTCAATAAATGTTTAACGAATTTATTAGCATGCGTACATTAGTCTCAGGCTTTTCACGATAAATAATGTCTACAAAACTTTACAGTAATGCCGTTCTTTCTTTCTTTTTTTCCTTCCTCTTTACCCTCAGGCTCATATTTTAAAAAAAAAAGAATCTTTGAAGAGTCTTAGGGATATATCTGCAGAAGTATTTGGGTCTCTTTGGTTTAACAGCTTCCAGAAACTGATTAATTAATTGATTAAGGCAAAATACACACGGGAGATATGTTGTAAGTGATGCTTTTGACAAATATTTTCTGCCAAGGAAGGTCAATTAGAGCAAATTAGTAGATCTAATTGTTTGGTGTTATAAGTCTAGTATTTGCGATAAGAACATAAATAATAACCAAATATGGGAAGGCACACAAACGCAATATTATGAACTTTCATAGCAATAACTGCCTAAATGCCCTTATTCCGAATATCGGTTAATCACCCGACTGCCCAACCTTAGTATTTTCCTCTGTCAAAACATAACACATGCGTTATGGTTTTCCAGACATGATTGAATGATATGTTAATCGTTCTTTTATCGTTTTTTATTTTTATTTTATTTTTATTTATTTTATTTTTTTGAGTACCTGTTTTATTTGAATGGATTTTCTCTCTCAATGTCATAGTGCTATTCTGTATTATAGTCTTACTACTACTATCATCCATTTCACCCAAGGGACGAAATTAAAAAGTGCCAACCTATAACAAAGAACCTAATGACTTGATAAAAAAGTAACCACTTAACTTCCGTTAAGTATGTAACTGTTAACTTTATGGCAGTTTGCTGTTTACGGGAAACGAATTTCATTATAACAAAAATCGATGAATATAAGCTGTTCAGGAGTTTAAACGGCACAGATTTTCAAGTCAGCCGATGTGAAAGTACTAAGCGAAGGATCTCTTCATGAAGGACTCTCTAAGGGAAATTAAGTGGTAATCATGATATACACGGAGGAAACTTTTGCAATGTTCATGTATCCAGTCAGTTTGCCAGGATTTGAACCTGGGTCGAACTGTAAGCTTTCAGTAGTCTTATTATAAGGTATTTCTCCCGCCTTCACAGCGTGCCTTCTTGGTGAAGTGGTCTGCACGCTGTGCCCATATTCCAGAGGTCCGCTGCTCGATTCCCGGCGATGGCGTAGCTCATTTTTCATGTATCTTGCTTTAAAAAAATACCTAGTAGCTCTACATTATCATTGAACGCTTGTAGTTTCTCTCGTCCACCTGTGTAAATCAAATAAAGCTAGCATGTTCAGGTATTTGGAATCGAAACCGTAACTAATTATCAGTATTTCTTTGATTCAGCTTTTAGGTTCTGATAGGTCTCGTTTCATGGCAGCCGGTGAATTTTTCCATTCGTTGTTGTTGTTTCTTTGAAGTGTATAATAATGTCATGCCATATTCATTTAAGATAAAACAGTATAAATTGCGCACGGAAGTTGTAGTCCTAAACTTAAATTCTTTTTTCCGGCTTGACGTTGATTAATGTCTTAAATTAAGCTGCAGAAGTGCTTAATGCCGACTGAGGTCCAGACAAATTTTAGCGAGTCTGCATAGGTTGGATAATCGAAGCTTTACTGTAATAAAGCCTCGGAATTATTATTACAGTATCCCTGTTATCAGTGTCGCCTTTCAGCCATATTTTCTTGAAGATGTTTCCTCGGCGAATTAAATTTCGTCGAAAATTCTAGGAAAATTACAATATAATGTTCTCAGATATTTTTGTAGTTAATAGAATAAAAGAAAGAAAAAAAAAGTATTGCTTAGCATAGCCTTGAAAATTGTCGAACTTACCGTCATCTAATGATCGTATTTACACGTTTTAATTCTAGTTGCTTTTTGCGTGCATATTTTTTTTCTTCTCTAGTTCTTCTTACTACTATTTTAATAAGTTTGAAATGATGAACTAGGATAAAAGGAAATGGAATCAATTGTACTTAGATAAAAAGTAGAGAAAGCATTACTAAGAATAATCTTGAAAGCTGTCGAACTTACTATCATTTAGCGGTTATGTCTGTGCCTTTTCGATTCTAGTCACATTGTATGCGTATTTTTAACTCTTTCATTAGTTGTTGTACCTATTTAAATTACCTGAACTTGAAATGACGAACTAGAACAGACGGGAAAAGAAAGTGTTAACGAAAATATAGAGTATTCAAGTAATTAATCTGACATGCACTTGTAATATTTCATGTAAAAATGGCATCATTTTGCCGTAAAAATTAAACAGCAGAAACTTTGGAAGAGGGGAATTTCTGTTCTTTTAACTAAATAAATAAATGTTAAAAATTTATGTATGTAATATTGCATATATTACCTATAAATACTATTTCATATGCTTTTTGAAATTATTAAAAGATTCCTCTACGCAGCCATGGCCGTTTGCAGATTGTATGCGGCAGCGGATGGGCACTTAATTTCTCAAGCCCAGATTCGCGAAAAAATGCTTTTTTTTTTCCTTAAAAATGCACAATGCATGCGTTTTTATACTGATGCAAACTCTAATCTATAATTTATTTAAAAACCCCTCCAAATTAAATAATTAAAGAAAAAATTCATTGCTATAAATATTTGCCTCCAATGTTTGTGCTTCAGGTGAATTTTCTGCTATCACCTGTATCTGACACTTAATTCGGTCCCATAGACCGGTTAATCAGAAATATATGTTCAAGAAAAAAAAATGTGCTAAGTTACTAATAATAGGATATTTGTAACTTCATTAAAAATGATATTAGCGGTTGTTTTCAACGCAACTTGCAAAGGATTAAACATTATATAAAACAAAATAAGTAATAGTAAAGTAATAAAAAGTAAAAAAAAAATCCTGTAATTTAATATACTACGCCCTCCATTTTTTTTAAATGCAAAGAATAGAGCATTATGCAATTAATGCGTACAGCGCCTTTTGCTCTTTATCAGATTAATAGATAACCCTCTGGCCTTTGTCCGAATAATTAATTGGTAGGCACACTGCCAGTTTTACCCTCATTTGCGTTGTAATTAAAAAGTTATTAACTGCG